TTGAAGAACAGTAACGTGAATAATTACTGACTTCCAACGACCACTTCCTTAAAACGAGTTAGAGTGTTCTCTGTTTCGTAAGTCGGTGGGCCGCAAACTCCAGGCGTAAGTCAATCGTTTGGCGAGCTATTCAGGTCGAAGGTGACGAGGCGAGGGCGTCTCTGAAAATCTGCTTCCGCTGAATTCAGCTCTCGTTAGTTGACTATCCCAACATAGCCCGCAGTCAGGAGCCAGTTTAGACAAAATGGCATTGAAGAAGGAGACACGATCGCCGGGACAAGAGCTGTATCAGCCTGACGTTTCGGATTCCTACTCGAATCCATCATCAGAGACAAAAAGCAGAAACGGGTGGTTGCTGCACAAGGGGCTGCGGTATTTATAGGATGCAGTAGCCATGCTACCGCATACCTAGGAACATTCACGGCTCCCCCCTTCATCCGGGATCGTCGCACTTGGTGTGATCACTGCTTGATGGCCGACATTCAAGTCGATAATTGCTGCAATTTCATCACGTGCGTTGGATGTTGGCGTGATGATTGCTCGACCATCTGACGCACCGACCCTGGTGTTGGGAAGAGTGTTCACCTCTGCGCTCCCCGCATGGCTTGTTACTCCGCCTATTCCCCAGGACCTGGCGATCGAGACAATTGAGCTGCTACTACAAAGCAAATACGATGAAACGGAGAACCATCTTGGACACGCCCAAATCCTTCAGCTCCTGAAGCGCTGCCTCAGGACTTACGTCACGTTCAACGGGACAATCTACGAATAGGTGAAGGGCACACCAATGGGTTCGCCGATTTCGGGATTCATCGCCGAGGCGGTCCTGCAACGGTTAGAGTCGCTGGTCTTCCAACACCACAGACCGAAATTCTGGGCCCGGTATGTGGATGACACCTTCGTCGTCATCGAACGGGATCAGGTGTTGACATTCCAAGAACATCTCAACTCCGTCTTCCCGGACATTCAATTTACGATGGAGGAGAAAGAGAACAACCAGCTGGCCTTCCTGGATGTCCTCGTATGCCGCAAAGATTGTGGTGAACTAAAAACCAAAGTCGTCAGGAAAGCGACAAATACGATACAAGTACTGAACTTCAACAGTAACCACCCAATCAGCCACAAACGCAATTGTGAAAGGACGCTCCATCGGCGTGTCGAAACGCACTGCAGTGAGCCGGAAGACAAAATTGCCGAACTACAATACCTCCTACGGGTCTTCAAAGCCAATGGCTACCCGCGCAACTTCGTCGACCGGTGCATACGCAAAAGGGACGAAAGGCCTAACCGCACGGACACCACATTTTGGCGGGCACTTCCGTATGTCAAGAACGTTTCGGAAGCTGTCGGCCGTCTTCTCGCACCACTTGGGGTTGGAGTGGCACACAGACCGGAGGCAACCATCAGGCGTCAACTGGTGAAACCAAAAGACCCACTGCCACGGCTAGAAACGTCTGGAGTCGTTTATCGGATCTGGTGCAGTTGCGGACAAAGCAACTACTTCGGAGAAACTGGAAGACAGATCCGAACGAGAATGGCCGAACACGCGGCAGCGGTGCGCAGAAATGACGCCAGCTCTCAAGTTGCGGCTCATTCGACGAGATCCGACCACACATTCAAATTCGATGAGGCCGAAATTCTCGCAACAGGAGACAACCGCGTGAGCCGGGAGCTACTGGTATCATGGTTTACTGGCCCCCAGTCCATCAACAAGTGCAACGGTCTTCCCACTCCTTACTTCGTGCTAAAACTTCGCCTAGGCGGAGTAACAAGCCATGCGGGGAGCGCAGAGGTGAACACTTTTCCCAACACCGGGGTCGGTGCGTCAGATGGTCGAGCAATCATCACGCCAACATCCAACGCACGTGATGAAATTGCAGCAATTATCGACTTGAATGTCGGCCATCAAGCAGTGATCACACCAAGTGCGACGATCCCGGATGAAGGGGGGAGCCGTGAATGTTCCTAGGTATGCGGTAGCATGGCTACTGCATCCTATAAATACCGCAGCCCCTTGTGCAGCAACCACCCGTTTCTGCTTTTTGTCTCTGATGTTGGATTCGAGTAGGAATCCGAAACGTCAGGCTGATACAGCTCTTGTCCCGGCGATCGTGTCGCCTTCTTCAAGACTACTTTCTGGGACTCGTCTCTTCGCTTCTATTGACAAAATGGCATTTTGGATTACTATGTTAACAAGGTGACGCAGGGCATCTTTAACTCAACTGAGTCAGCGACTGGAGAATCAACTTGACTACTTCTCGTTACTGACTCAAAGCCGGTTTAGAAGAGACCATGCCTTACAGAATTGGGAAATAGACCATAAATCTCATTGATTGGCACTTACAGGCGGTAATGCCCCACAAATTTAATAGGAATATCTTAAAAGATGCCGCATGTTCCCTCGGATTTGGCCTTTGGTCGGTCTTACGTCTTTTCCGGAAACAAAGGTTACGGACAACTTTCAGTAATAATTACAGTGGCTGATTACAAGTAATGATATCAATAATTCCTGGCTTTAATCAGCGGACGTCATCAATGAAGGATGAACGGGCCGACCTTTAGGTTTGGTCACACGATAAAGTAAAATAACGCCTCGTTTAGCTGGGTCGTCTCTCTGTGTGGCTACCAATGCAGTCCACTCCGTTTTGGGGGTAATTGTCCTTAAGACACGTGGGTCGGTGTGGCGAATATTCGAGATGGAAAAGTGCACATACCACAACACCGCAACCATTTTCCGCCTATCTAAGAGGTGAGTCACAACCTGTGCGATTCACGGGCGGTCTGCCAAGGCATACTGTCGTGTAAACTCTGTTGCGTAATGGAAGGGTGCTAACGAACGTAGGCAGTCCAGCCGGATGTCGGGGGTGGCTTGAAGAAAATTGACCTCTCCGCCACTCCGCCAGCCTCTGCTCTCTGATGGGCGATAGTATGCTTTAATCAGTCAAGGACGTACAATCACGCAGTAAAACCAACCACGTGAGCGAAATATGTTGTCTTGGTGAAAATCCACTAAACGAGAACGATGGCCGTGATAAAGAAGCCGAATAAACTAAATTGCTGGTTCAGGCATGTGCGATCCCACTGATCCATCAAGTCTCTAGCGCAAACATTAAAAGACTGTTTTAGCGACATCAGAGAGTCCGCTGTTTCAGTACTTATTGCATATCGATTCACCACATTTCTGGGAAATTGGCCTAACGAGGGCATCGAACGAGTTCGTGGGTACTGTTAAAATAGCTAAAATCCGAATTAGAATACTATTCAGTCAGCCTGGTAATATTATTTAAGGGCACTTGCACATATCGATCATAAAGCAGCTCCCGCCTGACTATATACTGTCCTCCATTTTCACTTTAGGTTTTTCACGGGGGACGGAGGTCCAAATTTGTAGCTGCACTCGGTAGATGAATCATCTTCCAACTGGGCTGCAGAAGGCGACTGGACCGGAAGCTCGTAAATCGTCTCGTTTATCTTAATGCAGCACCCCTCATTGGCACTATCACTGCGCATTTGTTAGCCGCGATGCCTGAGCTGACTTTACCTCTTGCTCAGATAGAGCCTTCTGGTCCCAGTAGTTGACCTACTACGTGGAATGTCAACTGAAATTCTGAAGTGTGTCATCGGCTAGAAGGAATTACTTAGGTGGTGTTGTAATATTGATTATCCTGGAGCATAATCCCATGATATTTAAATCACGCTAGTAAGCCGGCCTGCAAATGATCTCCTCTCCTGACGTCTGTAAAAACTGCACTCGGTAAAAATGACTACTTGAGTAGCGTGAATTTTTCTCATTGATTTTTGCTGAGCTTACAAATTCAAATATACTTTGTAGAAGGGGACACAAAGCATACTTTGCCCTGGACTCCATTCATTGCAAATTATGTCTTGTTCAAAATGTATATTTGAGGAAAAAGCGCCTTTTGATTTAAGAAAGTTTGCAATTATGAGATATGTTAAGACTGTGAGATATCCATTCACACTGCCTTTTGCTTGTCCCTTTATTAAGGCTGCTTACGAAGTACATAACACGGTCTACACCCATTACAAAACTTCATGGGCCCTATATGGCGTCTTTTTAATAGCGTGAGGGAATTTGAGATTTTTCCTACTCGGAAGGTATACAGCTTGAAGTTTGGAAACTCTGAATGTAAGTGTAACGACAGGTCGCTGTAAAAATTCCTCGGGATTTGAAGAAGTTTTTAAACCGAAAAATACCCCTTCCACAGGTAATCTGCTGCTGATTGGGCATAAGAGATGATGTTTCTACGCATGTTTTCTATGAGAAAAGTTTGAATGCATATGGCCATCGAACATCGATGGGAAATATTGATAATACTTAGGCAGTCAATGTTTACCAAGTGTAGTTTTACAGACGACTGAAAAGGAGCTTATTCAAAAGCCGGCATCCTGACGTAGGTGAAACGTATATGGGAACATGGACACGTCAAGTGGTTGTTGTCAAAATGTTGCAATTTATTAACGATGGCTGGAAACCTTCGACGAGAACCATTACCTTCCTTATTCATTAACACGGAGTAATTTTCTCTAAGGAATATGTCCATGGACTCATGGAGTTATTACCTGATGTCTCTTTGTCCGTTTGCGTTTAATCGCTTTCGAATTACGGCTTCCATTGAAACTCATCATCTTAAAAATCATAATCATCGTCGAAACTAAGAGCATGCTTGGCGACGGTGTCAAGTCAGCCATAACTTCTTTACAAAGAATTCGGGATATTCAGGCCGGTGTTCACTAGATTGCTGACCAGGTGTCGAGAAGCGTTGACGGACAAACTTCGGCGCTCTCTTTGCAACGCATGAACAACTGGACAGGTAAGTCTTGTCGTGTAGTCATAAAATAGCATGCCGCCTGGTTAGCTTTCTGTTTCCATCACAGTTCCGTCCCATAGACACTATCGGCAGCATTATTAATCATTGGGATTCTGTAGGTATACTTTCCTTCGGGGGAGATTTCCCAAACATGTTGCTACAACGGCGTAAGAGTGTACCAATGTTTCTAATCCACATGTTTTAAGGCTGGTCTTATGCTGCTTAAACATTCCTAAAGAAGACTTAATTACAGAATATTTGTCGGTGAGTTGAGTCATGAACAATACTGAACAAAAAAGGTAGAAATGATGTCCCAATGCTATCGCCAAATGGGCAGATTTGTCAAGCCTTTTGTACGTCTTTCAATCAAACGTATTCGCTGGGCGAGCAGCAGGGGTTCAGCAAGCTAGCGTTATGGGTAGAAAAGTCCTTCAGAAGCTCGCCTATGACGTTTTTATCAGATCCCGGTTAAGCCACCAGGTAAGATAATAGGAGTGCTAACAGCTAAATTTATATTTTTTTTTATAGCAGAGCCAAATGAAGGCGCTGATTACATTTTTTTCTGCAAACACTGGTGTATAGGCATATGAGCACATTGAGAGATGGCACAAACGACGTCTTTTTTGCCGAAATAGCCAGAACTCAAAGGCAACCTTATAATATGCAAAATCTTTGATACAAATTCCTTCCAAGGGAAAAATATTGGCCGTTTGTTCTTAGCAGGCTGCGTCATAAGAACTATAGAGGCATGGACTGTTCACTAATAGACACGTCCTCCAGTGTCTACTGACGTCAAAATTCCAGACCAGAAACATTATTTACTCAAGGGAACTACGTTTAATGCTACGCGGCACTTCGCTCTGCGTGTACAGACTTAGGGATTCGGGATCCGGGGTGAAAGGAGGGGGTGAGCCACATGCGTTTGGAGGGGCGTTTTATGGGTATGGACGCCTGCGAATCCTTCGACGCCCCCCACCGGGATCAAGACAGATGGGCGGTTTGCGGGACATGGGTTGACTACGTCCCCCGCTGTCTGCGGAGGGGATGCATGACCCGGCTCTTCCGCCCCCCCCCCCTCCTCTGACTGTCGCGAACGCTGATCACATTGTTACTGTCGCCGGTAGGGGGCATAGTCGCGGCCCCAAGACA